ATTTTGAAAAAAAATCAAAAATTAATTTTTTTAGTTTTAGCAAATAACTAATGCAAGATTGTAAAAAAAGCTGAAAACAAAGTTTTTTTCATTTTGACAAAGAGTAGACAGTTTGCACATTTTAATGTGATTTTTAAAAAAATAATTTCACGTAAATTAAAACTTTTTAGAAAATAAGTTCTGTCTTGATCTAGACTTTCGTTTCTTTGTTAAAGAAACTTGTTCTAATAAGCAGTTTTTTGTTTTTGAAAAAAAAATGGCCTATAGAAGTTTGGGGTAACTTGAAAACATATTGATTTTACATGTATTTTCATGAAAGACGATTGCTACAAGTAACTTGCAACAACATAAAATAAAAAGAAAAAATTTAGTGTACTAAATACATAAGATATAAAATAAGACTGCAATTTTTAGCAAAAATAATGATTTTATTGATGTGTAGTAACAATTCAACATAGGAAATGTTAAATATAGGAAATAACAATAAATTTTTCAAAAACAATAGCACGGTTTCAATAAAAAAAAGGAAAAATAAATATAAATTCTCAAAAAAGTATCTTGACTCTTTATTTTTTTAAACAAATTTGTAGGTACGACTGACTGTAACATCAAATGTTTACTCCTGCTCATTGGCGTACTGAGCTCTTAAATGTTCCGGGGAATCGATTGGCGTCAAGAAAACTTTAAAATTCGTAATAGTTTTTAAGTTATAGACGTATTTAAATTTTTGATATTTTTGACTTTATCACAAATTTTCTCGATAACTACTTATCGTAGAGCACTGATCTTTTTTGCATATGATAGAAAATTAAATGTTTTTTCCAACGGTACCAAATATAAGAAGTTATCTCCAATAAGTCCGAAGTTATTAACAATAAACCGTTCCGCGAACCGAAAATCGCACAAAATTTTGACAATAACCGAAAAAATTAAAAACTTCAAAATTGTCCATTTGCACTCTTGGGGGTTCAAAAGATTTAGAAAAGCACAAAAACGTTGTAAAAAATTTTTTGATAAATTTTGTGTAAGTGTTGAATATATTGAATGAAAACATTGAAGTTGTCGGCGGCGGTGGTGGCTCAGCGGCATAAGGTCCCGCTTTCCAGCAGGTAGGTCCCGAGTTCGAGCCCTGGTCAAATCGGCAATTTTTCTCAAATTCAAATATAATTCAAATAAATGTCAAAAGAGGGCGGGCGCATAAGAGCGCGATCTTTAAAACATGTGCACATGTTCTAATATAGATATAAGAGAGAAAACGCACAATACACTAACTAAAATAAGCACCAATAGATGGCGTGCGTATAAGAGCGCGAACTTTAAAACAAGTGAAAAGTGAAAAGTTAACAGTAATAATATAAAAAAGTAAACAAAAGGTAAGTTGAAAGTAATATAAATAAATGAAAGGTAAGTTTTGCATTAAAAATTAAGGATTTTTTTTTATTAATTATTGATATTATTACTAATAACACAGATGATTTACATGAGTTAACAAATTTTTACTTTTTTTTATTTTGTAAATTGCGAACAAACTGTATCTCAATGATACAATATTTTGACCTAAACATATGTAAAATGTTCCGGGGAATCGATTGGCCTCAAGAAAACTTTATAATTCGTAATAGTTTTTAAGTTATAGACGTACTTAAATTTTTGATATTTTTGACTATCACAAATTTTTACTTTTTTTTATTTTGTAAATTGCAAAAAAACGGTATTTTAATGATACAATATATTGACCTAAACATATGTAAAATGTTCCGGAGAATCGATTGGGTTCAAGAAAACTTTAAAATTCGTAATAGTTTTTAGGTCATAGACGTGTTTAAATTTTTGATATTTTTGACTTTTTATCACAAATTTTCTCCATAACTATTTATCGTAGGGCACTGATCTTTTTGTATAAGATAGGAAATTAAATTTTCTTTCCAACGGTAACAAATATAAGAAGTTATATTCAATAAGTCCGGAGTTATTGGCATTAGACCGCTCCGGGTACTAAAAATCGACCAAAAATATCGACAAAAATCCAAAAAATCAAAAAACTAGTACTACATGTAAAATTAACCGGAGAATACGCCTGTACAAACCGTTTTGACCTAGGACTCATAGTTTTTGAGATTTTTTTTTAATAAAACTAAAATTGGCTCTGTACCCTGAGCGACTTCCGGTTTTCAGCTTTTTGCTCTAAGTCTTATAGTTTCGCAGAAAAACGCGTTTAAAGTTTCACAATTTTGGTGATGCACTAGATTAGTATCTATCAATGTCCTATACAATTTTTTTAAATTTTATTATTTAAAGGTCACTAAAGGACTTTTTCAACTCACTGGGACACCCTGTATCTGAAAGCAGTGTGATAAATAACTGTGAAATGAACTTGATGTTTCTTCTTGCATTTGTGAAAAAAATTCGGGCGAATTCGGAGTGTGAATTTGTGAAATCTTGTGTCGCATGAATTGGCAATTGCACAATTAAAGGTGTGAACACCTGCGAACTCTCATATACAATCGCCGAGTAAATAGATACAATCCTTCTTTCTGATAGAGTGCGAAAGAAGAGAGGGGGTGTTCTGTTCGCAGTTTACAGTTCGACACTCCCATACAAAGCTTTCACAGTTCAGATAAACTCAGG